TTTTACCTCAATAATTACAGCAGGAATTGAGAAACCGCAATGTGTTATTTGTTGTGAAGTTCTATCAGCCGAATCTATGAAGCCGAACAAACTAAGATGCCATTTTGATAGCAAGCATCCGAGCTTTGCCAGCAAGGATACCGACTATTTTAGAAGCAAAGCTGATGGACTCAAGAAAGCCAGTCTTGACACTGGTGGCAAGTACCACAAACAAAACGTAGCAGCCATTGAAACTCCATATCTGGTGGCACTCAGAATCGCCAGAGCTATGAAACCTCACACCATTGCTGAGGATTTGCTGTTGCCAGCGGCCAAAGACATTGTTCGAGTTCTGATTGGAGACGAATTTGTTATGAAATTGAGTGTAATTTCCTTATCTAACGACACTGTCTGCAGAATAGGTGACATGTCTGCTGATATTCTTGATCAGATAATCCAGGAAATTAAATCTGCTCCACTTCCAATATTTAGTATCCAGCTTGATGAATCTACAGACGTTGCAAACTGTTCAGTTACTGGTTTACATGAGGTATATTAATGATGGTGACTTTAAAGATGAGTTTCTTTTTTGCAAACCTCTTGAAATAACTACTGCACGTGATGTATTTGACACAGTTGGTTCATTTCTGAAAGAGCATAAGATCTCTTGGGAAAAAATTTGTGGTGTTTGCACAGATGGTGCTCCAGCTATGCTAGGATGTCGATCTGGATTTCAACGTTTGGTACTGAATGAGTCACCAGAAGTCATTGGAACTCACTGTATGAGTCATCAGCAAATATTAGCAACAAAGACGCTGCCACAAGAGTTACAAGAAGTAATGAAAAGCGTCATAAGTTGTGTCAATTTTGTTAAGGTGAGCACTTTAAACAGTCGACTGGTTTCACAACTGTGCAACGAGTTGGATGCGCCAAACAATGCTCTGCTATTTCACACTGAAGTGAGATGGTTGTCGAGAGGAAAAGTTTTAAAACTTGTTTTTGAGCTTCGTGATGAACTCAAAATGTTTTTTAATCAGAAAGCAAGACCGCAGTTCGAAGCACTTTTCGGCGATAAAAGTGAACTGCAGAAAATAGCTTACTTGGTTGCCATCTTTGCCATCTTGAATGAATTAAATTTATCACTGCAAGGACCAAATGCAACATGGCTCGATTTGTCTGAAAAGATCCGATCATTCCAAATGAAACTTCAGCTTTGGCAAAAAAAATTAGATGAAAATAAAATTTACATGTTGCCTACTCTATCTGCTTTCTTTGAGGAATATGACATTGAACCAGACAAAAGGATTACGATGATAATTTCTGTGAAAGAACACTTGCACAAGCTTGCAGACGAAATTTCATTGTACTTCCCAAATCTACCTGACACCCCATTTGCACTTGCCAGAAGCCCATTCACAGTCAAAGTTGAAGATGTTTCTGAGACAGCACAAGAGGAGTTCATTGAACATATTAACAGTGATGCAGCGAGAACTGATTTCTCTACAATGCCAGTTATAAAATTCTGGATCAAGTGTTTGCAGTCGTATCCTGTTCTGTCTGAGACTGTGTTGCGCCTTCTTCCATTTCCAACAACATATCTTTGTGAAACAGGGTTTTCCAGCTTGTTGGTTATCAAGTCTAAATANGTCTGTTCCCCTTCCCCCAATTCCCCAATAAAAATTAAAAAAAAAAAATACTGCAGACCCTGATCTTTTCCATTCATTTCCGGAAAGATCATGACACACAGCCACAGTGGAAGTTATTCCACGGCGATCCCTCAGGTTGGGCCCCTCCTTCCTCGCTGGTGACCTCCCTCAGCCAGGCTGTCCATATTCCTGCTCCCCCTCAGAGGGAGGCTCTGGCTTCCTGAAGATAGTGCAACTATAGGATGGATAAACTTCGAGACACAGAGAAATGTGAATGCCCAGAGCAGCAAAAATAGGGGTTTACGACAGAGAAACTGTCCCTGCCACACAGGCTTTCAAGGAAGGGATGTGGGAAAGGACAGGCCTAAAGAGAAGGAATGAGGAAGAGAAAAGCCACATGCTTGGTGAAGGCAGCCCCCAAGAGAGGGAGCCTGTGGTGTACATTGGTGGGGTCTGAGGGATTGTGAGAATGGGGAGCAGACAGGCTGGGCAGCAAGGAGCTCTAAGCAAAGGAGGCAGCAAAGTGATTGGAACCCCATCTCTTCCTACCCACCCTGCTCCGCCCCAGAGCAGGGATGGATCCAGTAGGACCCCAGACTCAGCCCCAGCTGAATACCCTGTCCTGGTTCAAGACAACCAAGCCCAGACACCCAGATCCAGTGAGAAGTAGATGAGGCCCCCAGCCTACTCTTCTCTACACACAGGCCAGCCTCCTCACTCTCTCCTGCTTCCCCCTGAACCCCCCAGTTTATCCTCTGCACACAACCAGAGGCTCTTTACTAGACTTAGATCTGATGCTGGCTCTCCTTGTGCTTGAGTCCTCCAACGGCCTCCCTTGCAAGCACAATACAATCCCTGCCACCTCGCACGCTGGCCTGGCCTCATCGACTTCGCCTCTCACCACTTTGCCAGTACTCACTGGTGGACGCCAAGCCCTTTCTTGCTCCACGCCCTTGCACATCTTGTTCCCTCTGCCTGGCACGCTCTTCCAGCAACTTCCAGGGCAGGCTGCTTGTTGTAGCTCCCCCACCCCCTAAGCATTTCAGGAGCCTCCTAAGCCTTTCAGGAGCCTCCAGTGCTCTCTTTCTCAGCACCCTGTTTCTTTCATAAGCACCTACCACAATTCCTCATGATTCTGTCTGTATTGTCAGTCCCTTCCCCCTCTCTAGATCACTGGTTCTCAAGGTGGGAAGGATTTTGTCCCCCCGAGACGTTTGACAATGTCTGGAGACATTTTTGGTTGTCTTAACAGGGGGGTAGGGACGGTACTGTTATCTATTGTAGTAAGTGGAAACCAGGGATGATGTTCAACATCCTACTAGGCACAGCAGAGAATGATCGGCGCGGTCTGTCTGTCAACAGTGGTGAGGCTGAGAAAGCCTACGAGGACTGGGATCATGCTCTCCGCAGTCTCCCGACGCCTACAACACCCCAACAGCGCTCAATAAACACAGGAAGAAGAAATGAATAAAGGAGAGAAAGGAAGGATGGAGCAAGCGACGGACCAGATGGCAGGCAAAGAGGAACAGGAGCCGAGACCCCAGCCCATCTCAGCCCCGCCCCCCCGGCCTGACCCGACCCCTCGCCGGACTCCGAAACGCCCGACCCCCGCCTCACCGCGCGGTCCCGAGGCACGAGACCCGGGTCCGGCGCGGACACTCACCCGCCCGCGGCCGCCCGGGAGCGGCAGCGCCACCCTCCCGCTTCATCGTGTTCCCTCCGCCGCCGGCTGGGAAAGGGATGGGACACGCGAGCCGGAAGTGCTCAGATGCTGCGCCCGCCGGGACTTGTAGTTCTCTGGCTCTCACGGCCCAGGCGGACTTCTCACTCTCCGCTCTTCAGAAACTACGAATTCCGGCGGCTCCGATGTCGCGGGGCGGGATTGGCGGCTTGAGAATCACTCTATGTTGCAGATCGGAGTCTGAATGGCTGTGTGCATCCGTCGCTCACAGTTAGCCTGCCCCAAAAGAAATGCCATGGCGCGATTGGTGAAAACAAAGAGGGTAGAGAGCGGAGCGTATCAGCGCAGGGGTGGGACAGGTACTTCCGCCGGAATTGTCCAATCACAGTGTTGGGCAGCTTCTATAAAAGCTTGAGCCTGGCGTGTTCCCGCTCTTTCTGGGTCGACTGTGAGCCTGTAGTGTGTGTCTCCGTGCGCTACGCTGGGAGAGGAACTTGTCGCCCAAAGCCGCAGGCTGGCATAGCCTCAGCCTGAGCTCCGCCTTGGTCCTCAGCGTTGTGCACGTTTCTTGCTCCCCCAGCCCCCAGTTCCGGCAGGGAAGTCCGAATCTCCAGACCTACAGCTCCCTACAGGTAAGGTTGGGCCGGGCCTTGTTTCCCCGATTCCGCTCCGAGCCTGTGATGAGTTGCTTTAATTTCTGACACCTCGTATGAAAACTGTACATGCAGTTTGATTACATTGCAAGACTGAGGCTTCACGGTGCGCCCCATTGACGGGTCTGAGGGTGAAAACATGGGGAGAGTGGGCTTCTTTTTCTCTACATTTCGGCGCTGCCTGCCTTTCAGGGCCGTCGGTGACTTGGCTGGAGACCTTGAATGTAAATCAACATCATTCAGTCCTGGGGCCTGGTGGTAAGTCGGGAGTAGTTCATATCTATCTGAAGTGCTTAGCAATAAAGGAAAGGTGGTATGAGTTGATGGGAGTGCAAGTGTATTTATTTTCACACACCTTTTGCATTCCAAAGGGGTCCACGGGTTCCTCACGAACGGGATTAACTGGCCACTGAGCATGGTTTTCTATGTTGGGGTTCCATGCAGCCCTGCTGTGTTTTCTCCCACCCTGGTTATGCGGGATTACCACCCTCTTAGTGTTGTAAATCACGAACTGGGTTTTGCTGAATTCTCTAAAACATCGGTTCTCAACCTGTGGGTCACGACCCCTTTGGTGGTTGAACGACCCTTTCACAGGGGTCGCCTAAAACCATCAGAAAACACATGTTTTCGATGGTCTTAGGTACCGAGACACCGCTCCTCTATCCTTCTCCAGGCGGGTCCGTCCACATGCATATACACCCACATACGAGTACCCAGCGTGATGACATCATCGAGCCAACCCCATCACATACACCCTGTACAAATACAGGTGTATGTGACAGGGTTGGGGCCATAATGTACTTATGCGGACCAGTCACACGTGTAGGAAGCAGCTGCTGTGTTGAAAGCAGCAGTATTGGAGGTAAAACGACACTTCATGAATTACAATTACTGGGTAAATGTAAAAGCATCAACTACTGCAAAAAAAA